GAAACGGGTACTAAGCAAGATTAGTATTTTTCTAAACACCAATATTAGTGGCTCTCCGGTTCTCTGGCTTCCCGGTCATCTGGCTCTTCGGTCCTCTGGCTCTCTGGCTCTCTGGCTCTCTGGCATTCCTTGGGAGTAGCAGATTAACCCAATTTTCATAATACATTGAAGTTCTCTGGTGGCTCTCTCTCTCTGGCTCTCTCTGACTCCCTCTGGATAATTAAAGTAACCCAGTTTTATACATCCTGGGTAATCAAAAACTTCCAGTTTCTATTTCTGGGTGATAAAAAAATAACTTTTTCCTTTTACATTTGTGTCAAGGTGTTTAATAGCAATTAATAAAGGTTCCATAATTAATTTGTTCCTTTTGTAATAAACGTGATCTTTGTGTTTTGGATTTTAATACATTTTGTTATCAATATTTTACACGTTTTAGAAGTAATTTCATATCTTCATATTTAAACTGTTTAAATCCTAAATTTGCATGTCAATGTAAAACTTAAATTTTTAAAATGAAATACTTTGTGCTGTAAGATTAAATTAATAAAAAAAAAATGGTTTACAATATTGAATTGTTGTTATAATCTTAAAAGATATTTGAAACAAGTCATTGAATTAAATTATATATTTTTAAATTAAAATGTAGTTCAATTATTGATATTTTATTAAGTTTTTACATTTTTTTTAATTATTAATAATATCTTTATTTTTTCACATAACTTATTTTATTAGATCGATATGAAATATCAGATGTTGCACAAAGATTCTTCATGTAAATTCAAATTATTTAAAAATTTTTAGTATAAATTTGTTATATCTCATGCATATCTTATTCTTTATCTCTCAATTTATTTTGTTTTATATTTTTTCTATATTTTCTTAATAAAAAATCCAGAAACCCTGAGGAACTTAGACAAATTATCCATTTCGTGTAAAGTTTCTTGTTGAATTAAATATCATTTTTATTTAAAAATTATTTTATGATTACGTTTTGTAAAATTGGCTTTAAAGTTCATCTTTACATTAATTAGTTCTATTGTAACATATATATTGATATAGTTATAGAAAAAAAGGTTGATAGTAATTTTGTATTGAGAAATATTTTTTTTAATAATTAAATGATAAAAATTATAATTTTTTATTTTTATTATTATTATTATTATCTGTCAACATCATTGTAATTATTAGAATTATTATTACTCTTTTTAGAAATTCGATACAATTATTATAATTTTGATATAAAATTTTTAAATTTTTATTAATAGATATACGATTCAATCAATATTAAATGTGCACTATTTTGTGCGTGCTACTCTTATGCATGAATTAAAACATCGAAATTTATAAAAATAAAAATAATAGAAAAATAAATTTTAATTGTTACAACTTATAAAAGTAATTTTTTAACTTAGAAACTATCAACAATAATGTTAACTAACCTTAAACTAGAGAATGTAGTGCATCATCTGTAAAATTTGTAGGCCTATTCCTTAATAATTGAGCAAATGATAGCTGACCTAATTTAAAAATATAATTGCTAATTGTTTCTTCATTTCTTAAGAAACAAGTCTGCAGATTTTACAGATGTTGCATTACATTCTCTAGATTACGATCTCAAATTTTGTTTCTTAATATATCATAAAAGAAAAATTACTTTTGTATGTTGCAACGATCGACGATTATGTTAAATTCTATTTAAGAATAATTTTTTGCATCTTTTTTAGCGATTATTAATTTAATCGTTGATTGTTACAACATATTAAATCACAATGATATAGAATGGTCCTAAACTAGAGAATATAATGCATCATCTATAAAATTTATGGACCTATTTGAGAAATTTTTAGCTGATTTGATTTAAAAATAGAATTCTTAAGAAATAAATCTGCAAATTTTTACAAATGACGTATTAAATTTTCTAGTATGAGGTTAAGTAATATCATTATTAATTGTTTATTAGTGAAAATTATAATTTTATATGTCGTAACGATAAAAGATAAACATTTGTTAAAAAGATATAAATTATTCTTAAATAGGATTGAGATCATTACAACATATGAAAGTATTTTTTTTTCAGTTATGAAATATTAAAAATATTAAAAGACCTTAACAAAATTTGCAACCATGTTTCTATAAGAATTGAAAAAATAACCGACAATTCTATTTTTAAATTAAATCGCTACAATTTACTCAATTCTTTAGAAATAGCTCTGCAAATTTCACGCATCATGTATTTCTTTTTCTAGTATAAGGTTTCTTAATATGATTTTTGATGGTTTATAAATAAAAAAAAATAATTCTATATGTTGTAATGATCGAGATTAAATTAATAATCAATTTACCATAATTGTGATTGTAGCAACATATAAAAGTATTTTTTCACTTAAAAAACATTGAAAAGACATTAAATAGCCTTAGACTAAAGAATTTATTGCATCACCTGTAAAATTCGCGGACCTATTTCGTAAGAAATAGATAATAATTGACAATTCTATTTTTAAATTAAATTGACTATAACTTGATCAATTCTTAACAAATAGTTCCACAAATTTTACAGATGATGCAATACATTCTCTAGTATAAGGTTACTTAATATTAATTTTAATAGCTTATAAGTAAATAAAATAACTTTATACACCGTAACGATCGATGATTAAATTAACAATTGTTAAAAAGATGAAAAAAAATTATTTAAACAGAATTTAGCATATCGTGAACGCTGTAACATGTAAAAATTTTTTCACCTATGAAATATTAAAACGATATTGAATGACTTTAAAACCAAAGAATTTAGTGCGTTACCTGTAAAATTCGCAGACATATTTCTTAATTGAAGAAATAATTGACATTTCTATATTTAAATCAAATCAGCTAAAAATTTGCTCAGTTCATATTAAATAGGTCTGTAAATTTTACAGACGATGCAATACATTCTCTAATATAAGGTTACTCAATATTATTTTTGAAAGATTATTAGTGACATAAATATAATTTTATATGTTGTTGCGATAAGATTAAATTGATAATTGTTAAAAGGATGCATTGTAGCGTATAAGTATTTTTCTCACTTATGAAATATTAAAATTATATTAATGACCTTAAATTGAAGAATGTAATGCATCACATGTAAAATTTGCAGATCTATTCTTTAAGAATAATTAATTGAACTAAAATAAATCATCTATCATTAGCTCAATTTTTAAGGAACATATCTGCAAATTTTATGGATGATGCACTACATTCTTAAGTTTAAGGTTACTTAATATATTTTTTGATTGTTCATAGCTTAATATTGTACTTTTTATTTTGCACAACTAATGCTTTTAACAAGATGCCAAATTATTTTTAAATAGAATTTAATATAACTGGCGATTATTTCAACATATTTAACTAACCTTAGACTAGAAAATGTAGTACATCATCTCTAGAATTTGCAGACATATTTCTTAAGATTGAGCAAATAGTAACTGATTTAAAATAAAAATTCGATTATCAATTACTCCTTTAATTCTTAAGGAATAGGTCTGTAGATTTTATAAACGATGCATTGCATCAAATGGTTATATTAATATATATTTAATTTATTTAATCAGTCGATTTATACTTTAACTATTATTTAGAGAAGAATATGATCTGAACAAGGAATATGGAGATTTAATTAACTTCAGTTAAAACAATAAATATTAATTGTTTAATAATTAGTAAAATATTAAATTAAATTAATCAACTAATTTAGTTAAAAGTTTGAATTTTAAGTAATTACATCACTCAAAAAAATTATTTAATAATAATAAAAATTAATTATCCCTCAATATGAATAAATTGTTTCTACATTATAATCATCAGATACTTTAAATTATTTTTGATTTTTTTTTTCTTCGGTTTGGCGTATAATTAAATTTATTTAAAATTACATATTTTTAAATAATTTTAAAATACTCATCGTGCAACGTTCTGTGCGTTTTAAAATAATATTTTTATTTTCCCCTCCTCTTTTATAATAACACCTATCAAAGAAATTTTCTATTGGCCAATTATTATCATAATTTATTTTAATTTTAATAGTTTCAAGTGATTCTGGCACATCCTTGGCCATTTTATTTAGGTATCAAATCTTTTCCTCCATGATCAAATGAAAATCTCTTGATTCATCAAAATCATTGTTGGAAATAAATAGAGAGAATTGTTTTTAGATATGTATTTGTTGTTACGAGAATTTTATAATAATTTCTTGAAGATAACCAATATCAACCACAAATTCGAATAAAAACTTAATCGAGCAAATGATGAAGCAAAGAATAAATCTGATTTATGCATTGAAGTGAAATAATTAGTCCAATTGGTACCCCGAATTGACAATTTATATTAATTTAAGCAGCCATAATCATCAACGTGATGCGGTCTAATTTCATATTATTTTATTATAATAATTCAACCTTAAACTTGAACATTTTGGATTGATTTTAAATATCATAATAAAAAAACAAAATGTCACACGTTTTAAAAGCTACCCTTTAAAAAAGAATGCTATAAAAACAATACCAATTAATGGCAAATGATACTAAAAATGGTGCTACTTCAAAATAACGATAATTCCAAATACTTCACAATCTACTATAGAAAATTTTCCAATAGTTGTTATGGTAGGTTTTTCATAATAAATAAGACAATATATAGGATCATAGTTATGTATTGGATCATAAATATTCTGATTAATAGGATAGTATAATTGAACTTTGAATATTCTATTCTTTAATGAAAAAATGAAACTATCTTTTATTTTCATATCCCTACCTCCTTTTTAATTATCCCAAGCTAAAGGCTTATAACCTCCAACAATTTCGTCAATTCCTGCAATTTTTACAATCTTTATTGTGCCAGCATGTCCATGACGCATGTTCCAAATTGTCTTGGGATGAAACCATCGAAGAATTAATTGAAATTCATATGGAATATTTTTAAAGAATATGTAGTCGATTTTTAATCAATCCATGAAAGATCTGTCATATCAAAGCTATTCTTCAAGGATTTTTTTGTAAGGTTTACTTCCAGATATCTTCGTTGGGAATAAGAAAATATCGAGTAAGTGGTAAACATTATTGTAGTGTTATTTCCAAAGCCTCAACATTTTCTTTAGATTATTCCTTCACATCTACGGATTATGTGCAATTACTCATTTTATAAAAAAATCTCAAATTTTTCAAAATAGAAACAAATTTTCTTGAAGTGATGTGAAATCTTCTGATTAAAAAATTAAATTCGGATATTTAACAAACAATTAAATTCATTACTACCAAACAATGAAGAGAGAAATGAGTTCTTACCAAAGAAGTTTTAGATTCAATAAGACAACTTTCTAATTTTCTGACAATTGATTCATAAATAGTTTTATATCCGCACCGCATTATCAACAATTCCACTATAAATATAAGTTTTTATATCTCTAAAATGTATTAATATTGAGTAAAGTATAATTGATTAAACATTTAAAGTAATAAATAATTTTTTGTCTTTAAGAATAATTTCTAATATTTGAGTGGAAATATTTGGTTTAATATTGATAATATTTTCATTCGTAAAAGTATATTGGATCAATATTAGGTAACTTTTTCTTCTTTCTGAAAAATATTAATCTCCTTTCCATTTATCATTTGTATATATATAATCGTCATCGTGCTATAAAAAAATAATAAGATAAATAACATGTTCGTTAACATTAATATACGATGTTTGCTAACAAGTATGAATTACAACTCATATCTGCATTAATTAAAAAAATTATTGTATATACCTTCATTTTGCTCTTCCCATAGTTCTTAGTCCTCCTCCTCCTTTTGTTCCCTTTGGTAGGGTGCATATTATGTTTGTTAAGACTTTAATCTAGAAAACCATTACGCCAATAATCAAGCTTATTCTAGGTTTCAACTTTATTCTAGGTTTCAACTTCCTCTTGAAATGAAAGTTCAACGTGGAAAGATCATAGAAAATAACAACATTAATAAATGATATCTAAGTTCATATCATTGTTTACCTATTTCTTTTTTTCTTTTCCTCGCAGTTTTCTTCCTTTCTTGATAATTTAAAAATCTATCATGCAGCAGAAATAATATAATAATTGTCTAACGAAATATTATACTCTCTGGTATTTTTTTTCCTTCTTCGCCTTTCTCACCTTTATAATATGAACTTTATGTACTGGAGTTTTAAAGTTGGTAGATTTATCCGCATTTACCTTTGTAACATGAAAAGGATAAAATTATTACTTATATGATTCATGCAAATTTTTTTGAGAATCCTTATTCTGCATATCTGGTGGATTTCACTGGTCCATAGTCTTGAAGGTGATCAGAATCAATTCACGTGCAATATTCACGTGATACATGAATGTTGGGTATAAGAATCTATACCCTTGTGCACAGGTTAAGATTCTCCAATTTTTATTACACTTACATATATATCCCGTGAATTAATAGTGTCTCCATTTCTTGGTACGAATTTATTTATTTCATTATTGAAAGCCAAAATAGCTCGTTCAAATTTTTGTACAGTTGGATCAACCGGAATTCGATACTAGTTGGAACTGAGTTGGAGTTGCCAGACAAAATTTTTACAGGCAAAATTCGTCGATTATTATAAAATGCCGATGAATTTCCTTTTTTCAGGCATAAGTAATCAAATAAATCCACCAATGTTTTAATTTGTTAATTCGCGTAACCGGAAAAATTTGAAATCCAAAAATTACTAACGCTATTACCAGTACGATCACGTTTCTTGTTTAACACGAAATGTGTAGAGTTGATGGATGAATTGATGTCGCTTATGCTGATTTTCTTAGGAGTTATGATTTTCGATTTTTTATTGTAATTTTTGTGAATTCCTTTTTGGTAGAAGTTATAATTTCATTAATAAAGGGACTATAACCGTAGTGCACGTCGCTGCATCAAGCTTTAAATGCACTTCGCGTATGATCAATTTGTTCCTTTGACAATTCATTTATTGTGTAACTTTATAAAATTATAAATTGGAAATAATTCTTCATTGTTACAACATATAAAACTATAAATTTTAATAAGTAAAAACCAAAAATAGTACTAAGTAGCCTCAAAGTCAAGAATAAATTATTCATTCTATGAAAAGAACAGACCTATATCAAGAGAATGACGTGCGGTTAAATTTCGAACAGATGAATTATTTTAAAATGAGAATCATTCGTTAAATTTTAAAGATAATAATCTTAGATTCTTACTGAGCATGTATATCTTTCTTACCTTTGAGGTTACTTAGTACTATTTTAGATTTTACTTATAAAATAAAAAGTCTTACATTGCGACAACGATCAACGATTTTGTATTTAAAAATGTAATCTCTATAATTTATCTTTGAGTCTTTACGCTTAAATGTTTTTGATTGGTATGTAATTGGAACACATTTTTTTTTGTTGGGATTTTTTAGTAAAGGAATTGAATCGATTTTAGAAAATAGCTGGCATAAAAATAAATTTTTATTTTCGTGCCACTTTTTCTTTATTTGAAAATAGATAAAAACATATTTTTTAAATCGTTGTAACTTCGAGATAATGATGCAAATTAAAGATTTCTCGGTATTAAATGAAAAATATTCAATAAACAAAAAATAAATGAATAAATAATACTTATTTTGATTAAATAAAAAAATGACAAGCTTTGATGAATTTTTTGAAAAATAAATTGTAAAATAGATATTAATAAAATAAAAATAATAAATCGTTTATTTTTTTTTGCATTAGATTTTTTTAGTAATTAAACAATTTATTAAGAAGAAAATTATGTAAAAATATCCATTGTCGGATAGGCTCAATTTTTTCTTTTGACAATCACTTTATAAATTACAAATCGGAAATAATTTATTATAGTTACCACATATAAAACATATTATTTTAATAAGTAAATGTCATAAACAATACTAAGTAAACTTAAAGACAAGAATTATTTGCGTGTTATACTAAAAGAATAGGCCTAGTTTATCAAAGGTGAGATAAATATTAACGGTTATATTTCGGACGGGCGAAAGAAATTTGAAATGAAATTTATCATACATTCGAAAATAATAATTATTACATATCAATTATATATATAACTTAATTAAATTAAATAATAATAATGATATTTTACTTATGTTATTGAAATATTTACACTTATAGTAACTTCTATTTAAAAAATGAATTTCGTAAAAATTAATACTAAAAAACCTATAACTCTTTCAAAATAAAATAACCGAAAATCATAACTCTTACTAAAAAATTCGATTGATAAAAAATAAAATCAACGATTCACCCTCCACATGTTACACATGAAATGGGACGTACTGGTATTAGTCGATGATCAAAATTGGAAAGGATACACTTATTATATTCGGGTTGAACAGATTATTTTGTCTAGTTTGTAATACAGAATGATTAAGTTTTTGTTTATTTATTTATTTTAATACAAACAAAAGCATGTTTATAACTGTAAACAAAATTTAGAATTAATGCATCCAGTTATTATATATTTATAGTAATTTCTTTACTAAATTATAAATTTGGATATATAGTATTCGATTCGTTTCGCTGCAGAGATGAGGAATAATGAATATTTATCTATAAAACACATTTTTCTATTAAATTAACATATGATATATAATATTATACTCTGATCATGTTTTATTCTTACTTTCGTCATGTTTGGTATTGTTAATTTGCGTGATTTAATTTCCATTTTGTGTCACAAGATAAACAAATAAAAATCTGAGCGTGAGTCTTTTTCAATCTTATACAGTTCTTCATGTATTAACATGACGTAAATATATTAATTACATTAATGACTCAGTATTTCGTTGTCTTCGTTGCTTTTGTTGTCTTATAAATTGAGATCTACTAATATAATTCTATAGATCAATTTTTTGCTATAATAAGTTTTTTTTATAAACACAATAATTTATTTAATTTGTAATTATGTCCAAATATACAGCTAAAGATTTTTCTTTTTATCTCCTAATTTCTTCTTGATAATTTGTTTCTTCGATTTTCCTTTTTAGATACTCTACTAACTTGTAAACGATATTCTTTGACTCTTCGATATTTCTTAGATCTCTTAGTAAAAATTTTTAAATTGATATTATATTATTCAATTTTATATGTATCAAATAAAGTTCGATTTGTAAAATTAAACTTAATCTTAATCATTAAAATTTAATAATTTTATAATTTAATATGGCAATATTAATATATTTACCCTTCCAAGTACAACGACTTCAATATTCTAGCTTCATTGATATACTTTATCAATTTGATTTGATGATGAGAAGAAAAGGTATCAATAATTTTGTCTGTGCTTGTGAAAAGAATTGTCCATCGGTTGGCTTTATTCGTTAAAAAATGAAAGATATATTTTTCATATTTAAAGTAAAAGGTGATTCCCAATTATTGCTACATAGTATTAAATCGGAATAATTAATAATACAAAAAAAAATTAATTAATTGAAGTATGGAAAGAACAAAAAACTTGAATTCAATATGTTTATCAAAGCGTTATGATTGGTTGGAATGGAAATATATATTTCGAAGAAAATATTAAAATATTTTAATACTTTATTATTATGTTAACTGCCTTTTAACTTCTAAGTAAAAAATATTTAGCTCAAAATTCAATATATATTTACAATACTTTGTTATGTAAAATGCCCGACTAAATTACTTTGTCTTACCTGTCACTAAACTCCAAAATCCATTCAACCATTCCATTTTAACACTCTCCTACCCTGCGAAAACTCATTTTATTTATTCCTTCTAATGACAAATATTGTTGCATTTATTAGCTTATAATTATTTGCTTATTGGGTTGATAAGGAAGAACTTTAAAGAATGCTTCAAGTTTTGTACCAGGTTGTCAGTTTATTCTTTAATTTCGTACGTTTACGATAATATATATTCCAATAAAAATACGAATAAAAAACGCCAACAACGTCCTGCTACCAGTCCAATTACCAAAGGTTTATTATTAGGACCTGGAGTAGCTGTAGATGATTTATTTACAGGTGGGTTAAAAGTTGTAATCCATTTGCTATTTTTTATATTATAAAGATACACTTGAAAAGAATATAATCCAGCATTTGTATCCAACCCCCCCCCCAAAAAAATATGAAGCATCATTTATATAATAGAAAAAATATTAAATCTACTTACCAAATATAATTATCATATAATCAAAATATAAATTTGCAGTATAAAGAATAATCCCATTTGGCAAAATATTGGCGGCATGTTTAAAGTTTCACAAGTCTTTTCAAGTATTAAGCATATTCATACCGTTGAAAAGAGGTCTGTCATTTCGGAATAAATTAGCAGAATTATATCCACCAAATATATATCTATATATATTATTCCAGAATTATCAATTACTCTTTTGTCTAGGAGGGACTGCATCACCACCAAGTATTGGTGTAGATAATGTAGAAGTAGAATAAGAATGTGTAGATGAGATTTGAGTAATCATAATCAAGTGTAATTTTATTTCTCTTGAATCCTCCATATAAATAAATTGTAGAATTATCTAAACTTAAAACAACAGTTAAACGGGGCGTATGTACAGGAAAACTTCCTTCAGGAATTAAAGTCTTAAGCTTTTGTTATCAAATGGCTTTGGCAAATCCAAATAGAATAATTCTATAATTCAGATGTATTAGTGCTAACTATTAAGAGTCTATCGTTGATTATTACACTATTATGGTATCTTCTTTCGGGTAGGGCATAGCATAAAATTGAATTAATTAATGAATTAATTAATAATAAAGTGCAAAAATAAATTTATATAATTTAAATGGAAGATGCATATTTAATACATAAATTATATAAAATAATAGGATTTATACAATTTTTTTTTCAAAAAAAATTTTTTTTTGTAAAAAGGACGTTGAAAAAGTTTTCGAATTCTATCTTGCATACGGAGTTAGAGTTTTTCTGTCCGTATAGTGCTTGCATACGGAGTTGGAGTTTTTCTGTCCGTAGAGTGTAACAAAATTCTCATTGTTTATCTTTTGATATGAATTTCAAAGAACGCATTCTTGGACAATATAATTCTAAAAATTAAAAATGGTTAAATTACAAAAAATGAAAAGATGGTACGAAATAATCAAAATTAAATTTAGCCGAAATATTTTGAATTTTTTATTTGCTAAAATACAGTGTATGTCATAATTTTGGACTCCTGTGTATTGGAATAAATAGATAAGATTCGTAAATTTTTTTATTTGTTTATTTTTTGAACTCAAAATATATTAAAAATGATCCGTTATTTTATTTCGTTTATTTATTGAGCCGTCAACATATTGCATGACTTGAGAACTGAGTATTTTGATTTTTAAATTTCGTAAAGTTTGTCAATGTTACATAACACAAACCAATAAATAAACCAAAAAGGTTAAATTATACGAAATTTAAATTCGAAAATATTTTGGTATTTTTTATTTCGCATAAAATATTTTGGGGGGAATTTTTTGGTAAAAGGGTCCATATCTATAGTTCTAAGTCGCTGTATCAAGCCTGAAAGTTATGAGATGCACTAATCGATTTGCTCCTTTGACGATCACCTCTTTTTTTTGCAAAATCTCTTTTATAAAATGTGATTTTCGTGTAATAAAATAAATTTTATTTTCGTGCGATGTATTCGGTTTTTTAGGTAGAACGTTGTTTTGCAATTATAATTATTGAAGTTACACCGGCTAAAAAAAAATAATCAATACTATTCAATGTGAATTAAATACAGTAGTTAAAAAAAAATAATAAATAAATATTTAAAACAAATACGAAGCAAAAAAAAAATAAATATAGATATAAATATAAAGAAGAGGCCTAAAATATCAACACTTGTTAAAAAACGATCGTGGTATTTTGCACTACGAAATAAGATAAAAAATATTTTATTTTCGTTGGTAGATATAATTGCGGTATGATCAATTTCGTTTTTTATAAAAGCCCTTTTCGGGATAATGAATTTCAATTGGGTAGTATACAATATCTATGTGAAAATTTGCACTCATGTGTTTCTAAACATTAAAGAAAGAAGGTTGGATCATTCTGTTTTACTTTGTGAAATTATTATCTGAACGAATAGTGCATCTTCCTTATGGAATGAACTAGTTCGGAAAGATTAAATCTTGGATGCGTAATGAATGATCATAATATGGTAATGTAATGAAAAGAATAAGAGAAATTAATCATTGTAATAATATAAAATATTTAAATAAATTAAAAATTATATAAAAATTTAATTAAATAGTTTATACCCTTTTGCTTAGTTTTAAGCATTGTTAAATTGAATTCAAACATAAAATTATTTTTTTGATTATTTTTATTTAATAATCATTTTTTTATTATATGTATCGATATAGACGCCCCAATTGTACAAATTATCCGAAACATTGAAATGATTTCTAAAAGAATAATGTCCCTAGACAAATTACTAAACAATTGTTTTCATATTTTCCCAGGAAATTTTCGTAGAACTCCGATACATATAAGGTAGAATTTTCTTATCATTTATTTATTTTTTATCATTTTTTTTTATTAATTCCTCCTTAATATTGGAAAAAATTATATTTCTGCAAATATATGTAAAGGTGCACTTTATATTTTATATCTATTTTTTTAAAAAAAATTACTTGCTTGAATCTTGGGAAATGATTATAAAATTTGTATTATTATTTTTTTAAAATTTTTTTTAATACGCTTCCCTGGGAACGTATTATTTTCATTTATATTCGACTCTTGGAATTGTATTTATAAATAATAAATTTAAATGATAAAAGCAAATAACTGAATTTGAATAGAAATCAACAGTAAAATATACAAATTAATTTTTATATTCACGGCACTTAATCTTAAGCATAAGTAATATAAATTTAGACACAAATTGTATTGTATATCAATAGATTTAACTAAAAGCGTTTTAATTTTTCGATCTAAAATTTAACAAACAAGTATCTATTTCATTTTATAGATACGTACCATAATATGAATAAAAGTGCCACAAACGGGATTTTTATTTTGTAAGATTAGTTATCGCCTACCCAAAAGAAAATATAGTTCAAGTGATTTAATATGGGAGACTAAATTTTCAAAGGATGAGATTGAAGTTATAATTCTGGAAGTTGAGATTTCTGTTATATATTTTAAGTTATCTCAAAATAATGTTAAGTTTATAGTATCTTAAAATTTTTAAAGTAAAAAATAATATAATTTTACATAATTTTTTATTACTTAGACCACCGCAAGTCATGATCGACTAAACAATCACGATGGATCAAAACCAACTAATTATATGTATATCTTTTGGGTTTTATTAAAAATTTTAAGTTGTAAGGGTGAAAAGGATATATTTCAATTGTTACGCAATACTATTTATTATGCACGTTAATCGAATCGTTTTACAATTGTTATTACGTTAATTCTTTTATGATGTTAACTTTATTTAGAGAAATCTCGAATTTAGATTATTATAACTATTATCATTATCTTATTGTAGTATCCTATTTCGTAAAATTACGTTAGATTCTTACGCCATTATTCTCTTTGTCAAAATACTAAAAAAAGATCCTGTAACACTTCATTGTTCAATTTGTATTTGAATTTCAGATAACATCTTGTAACACTTTGGCATTGTTCACATTTTTATATTGATATTTTTTCTCGTAACACAGAGTTCAAGCAAAAATGTTGATATTTCTTCTATTTCAAGATTTGATTATAACTTTAATTTTAAAGTTGCTTCCAAATATATTCTTTCATTTTTTTTTAATCTTTGACTCTTTAGTATAAAAGTCTATTCGATTACTTGGCTATCTTCCTTTTTAAAAAAAGTCGTAATTTTGATTTTTTTAAAAAAAATTTCTTACAAAATAGCATTGGTTTAAAATTCATTTGTACAAAAAAAAGTAAACAATAAATTTTATTAACGAAACAAAAAATCACAAATAGAATAAATATTATGTCGCTTAATTTTATGATGAAAAAGAATTTTACTTCATTTTTAATAATAGTGTTGGTTTTGTTTATTTCGATTAAATGTGTTTCAGCTCAATCTGATAGTCCATCCCCAACTCCCAGTAGTCCGACTCCAACTCCTGACAGTCCAACTCCAACTCCTGATAGTCCAACTCCAACTCCTGATAGTCCAACTCCAATTCCTGATAGTCCGACTCCAACTCCTGATAGTCCAACTCCAACTCCTGAAGTGACATCTCTACCTGAAGATACTTCTCAACCAACCACTCGTGAAGACACCTCTCAACCAAGCAATCCTGAAGAGACTTCTTATGCAAAGGCTCCTCTACCAACCACTGAAGAGACTCCTCCACCAAACACACCTGAAGGGAGTTCTCTACCAACTACTCCTGAAGACACCTCTCAACCAAGCACTCCTGAAGAGACTTCTTATGCAAAGGCTCCTCTACCAACCACTGAAGAGACTCCTCCACCAACTAACACTAAAGACAATCCTCCACCAACCACTCCGATAACTATAACTTCATATGGTAATACAACTTCAACTGATGGAACTGATAGTTCTACTGTTAGATCAACCACTGCAACTTCTTCATTAAAAACTATTGAAGGTGTAATGATACCTATAATAAATTTACAAATTCTCAAACCATTTTTATTCAACTAGCTCCTATTGTTACTATTACGAAAGAAACAGCTACAACTAGTAGCCACACTTGCAACGCGTGTAAAATTGATACTTCAGTGTAAAACTCTAATCTTTTATATTCTTATATTTAAATATTTTAAATACATGTGTTGTCTTGACTTTGTGTTTCGAGAATACATTTTTTAATTATTTCTTATTTTTCTATATAAAAAATTATAGGGATACCAATAACCATAGTGGTAAAAGAACTATTATAACCACAAAAAATTCACGTTCTGGTGTTCTCACTACTATCACTGCGAATACTTCTTACCCTGTTACAATGATAACATTCATGACCACCACTTTCTTTAGTACAATTACAATATATATTCCAGGTTATACTACATTTTATGTAACAACTACAACCAAAAGAACAATTACAGCTTCATATTATGTTCCTCCAGATACCGTGATTTTGGTTTCAGAAGTTACTGCAGTTTATGCTGCTACTCCTAATTCTACTTCTACTATTATTCCTACTGTTGATAGTTCCGGTGATTCGATTAAAAATTTAAAAATATGGAAAGATAAATTAAATCGTATGATTATTTGTTTGTGGGCGATTGGCGTTGCTTTTGTTTTCGTGATTTTGGTTTAATTTATGATTAAATTCGCGATATTTTAAATCCCTTAAAGTTTAAATCCGGTGAAATATGTCATATTATATTATAAAATATCTATAATATCCTGTCTATATTACATACTAAAAATCATTCAAATAAATATATAAATTAAATGCTAATTTTGTTTCTTTTTATATATATTTGTGTGAATCATTAACAAAAGGCATAACGATTGAAAGAAATTATACTAAAATGTTATATATAAGGATTCATTTCCACCTTCATAACTTAATTTTTTTTAAAAAATTTTTAAAACAAAACCCAAAATATTTAATCCTATTACCTTATATTTATTCTTTTATTTTCACGGAATCTTGAATTTCGATTATGTAGCCAAACCAGTAGTATAGTACGATTAAATGTTATAATTTTTACAAACACATACATTTTATATATACGGGGCACATGTTGATGTAATTGGTCAATATTTTTGATGCATTTGCAGATAATTATTTATAACCAATGTTAATATTAAAAAAATAAAGTAGTAATTCTGTAAATTAAATTTAGATAAGCATAATATTAAAAATAGTTGGAAGACGTAATAAATATACCAAAAAAAAATTAAATAAAAAATGAATAAATTATTAAAAATACTAAAAAAAAAATTGGACTTAGACAATTTGTAAAATACGATATAATAAAATTTTATTTTTTCATAAATAAATCTCACTTTGAACAACTTCTCGAAAATTATTTAAAGATGGCATAATAATATTTTATTAAAGATTACTATAAAAGTTTTTTTTTTGGTTCGCTAGAAAAATTATTTTATAAAAGTATGTACAATGTGTAAACGTACATGCAAAGATAATTCCAATCGGACTACTAAAATTTGTAACCGTACTATACAAATTCGTGAAATTACGTTCATAACATCCTATCCTGTAACACTTTGTCATTATTCAAATTGAAATTTTTAGATTTTTGATTCATTTTTATTACTTGACTATCCTAAAAATGGCCACATAATTCTTTTTTTTTTTTTTTAAAAAAAAAAAACAGAGTAATTTCACGAGAAACATCTATTGCATTGGTTTAAAATTCAATTATACATAAAAGTAAACGATAAATTATTAATGAAACGAAAATTCGCAAAAAGAATGTCAATTAATTTATGAAGCTTAAAAAGAAGCATTTTAATTTACTTTTAATCATAGTGTTGGTTTCATTAATTTCAATTAGATATGTTTCGGCTCAATCAACAGCATCAACTGAAAATGAATTAACCACTATAACTCCAATTTCTGATAGTTAGAGTTGGAGTCTATCACCTAGTAGTTCAACTGATAAACTAACCACTAATCGAATATTACTTCTAACATCCGTTTCTATTTAATCAGCTTCTACTACTTATTTTATTCCATCAAAATCAACCGACACTCTTGCATTTCTTGTAATTCATATAAAGTTAATTCTGCCGTGTAAGTAATTCTAAAATTTGAGCTTTTTCTAGTCATGTTATATTCTAATATGATCAGATAAGATCTTTATTTTTTTTAAATAAAATTTTACAACAGTATTTCAATTATAATGACAAAAATAGTTGTGCATAAAGTATTATGGAAATTAATTTTATTTAAAGAATCTAAGTTGGCAGTGAAGCAAATTATTGTTGCAATTTCATAAAAAATAATTTGAAACAAAATATTGATAGAGTTTTTGTATGCAATGTGTTCTTAATTCGAAAATGTAATTTTTTAATTGCAAAGTTACATCCGGGAATTTTATTAGAAATAATCTCCGTAAATTTTTACAATATTAATTAAATTGTATATTATACATTTGAAAAAATAAAAATTGAAATAAATCACAGCGACTCAAATAAATAATAATAATAAAATATTTTTTAAACTAGAATTCTCTTAATACTTGTATACAATTTTTTTATTATTTTATTTTTAAAAACCTTTTGTACTTTGAAGAATAAGCAAAATAATTAAAATAAATGAAATAAAAAAAAATAAATGCCAACATCAACAAATCACTAATTTAGAAAATAAACCTATAATTAATGTATGTACATCTTAAAAACATGCTATTTTTTTTTTTTTTAATTCCAACAGAGTCATGCTTTATTAAACAATTTATTTTGCAGTTGATAAAAATTAAACAAATTTATAAAAACTACAAATAC